GTTTTTGCTTCAGGAACGGTCACATTTCTTACCATGGAGCTGCCCAAAATCAGGGCTGGCGAAAAGGACGAGGAAATCCGCCCACTCCCACGCTTCACAGGATGCAGGCCTCCGACAGATCGAGAAGCCCGCTCGACGTCTACTTCGAAATCATAGTAGTAGGCACTGCGGCCGCAGACACCCCCAGCGACGAAGGTGCAGGAAGATCAGGCTCCAGGACGGCGAAACTATTCGTTGTTTGTATCCGCTCCGGGCCTCTCGTTGGGAGTGTAGACTGCTTTGCGTCAGGTCGCTGTCTTCGGCTTCCACGGCTCTTGACATGCGAACATCGTTGATTGCCTTTCTCCTCATGCTGTGCTCCTTCGACGGCACTATCAGATGGGGGAGCTCCGGGCAACACCGGCCAGTCGGTTAATGACAAACCACAAGGCGGAGATACATCCAACAAGCGCGAACACCGTCCAGCCACCGGCGTAGAAAATGTAAACATTATTTCTGATCGTCTTTAATAAAGAAATGTTTTGACCAAGTGAATCTGCTCATGTTGTGTGTGTGTGTGTGTGTGTTCAATTATTTGTGACATTATAGTTACAATGAAGAATCAAAACAAAATAAATCCTACTCATAATGAATAATCAGATGTTGCAAGCTTGTCACTTCTTTTTGACAATACAAAACATACACATACAAACGACAACTGTTTCTCTCCGTTGCCCACGCACTTTCAACATTTGGATAATAAAGCATTTAAAGGCGGACATTGGATGATTTCCAGTTTTTAAGAATACATGTTCAAGATGTTTGATGAGAAAAGTATCATCCAACCCATAGGGTATATCACTGCACCCTTATATGCCATGTCTTTAAATATGCAGACAGACATATTAAACGTTTATTTCCATTGTAATACCTTTGACAGCCAACTTTCTAACTCTGCCCATAACCTTTGGACTTTATAACATTCCCAGAAGGCATGGATTATTATAACCTAATGAAAAATGAACCTAGTAACCTAATTGCATTTACTGCAGGCCTAAGACCTATGGGTTTAACCTTTTGAATGAATTATTATATTGAAGATAGAAGCCGCCGAGAGCCAATCCGTTACCCAACAAAATAACATACATTTATTTAGCCTAATTCTTTTTATGACTAAAGACAGTAGGCTATTATTCCTATTTTCCTGCATTACTTAATTTGTCTGCATGTCTATTCAACATTTGGCTAAAAAGAAACCATGCCATGAATTAAGGACTGTATATTTTTATTTTCACAATGCAATGCAGCATATTGACAACTCAATTCGATGACAACTCAAATTCTAATATTAGACAACAAATAAATATACTACAACAATAATTTCAAAAACAGTCATTCATCACTCGATTTCTTCAAATTGCTGTGCAGGCTCGCAGCTGGCTTCTCTCTGAAACCACCAATCCATCTATAGGTGAGGCTTTGTCCTTTGGTACCTCACAATTACCAGGTGGACAGTAGGCTGTTTGCTTGCCTCCAAGGCCTGATGCAGGACTAGTGCAAGAGGAGAGAGACTCTCGGACAGAAACATTCACACCTCCATTAATTTACAAAAGGATCGTTTAATAGCTTGGCTAGGTGTGAAAAATCCCCCAATTTGTGCCACAGTTTAGACTACCGATAGATGTCAGTCAAAGTTGAGTCCTATTTTAAAGTGTAGCCTAATGGCCAAAAAGGGATAAACTTGCAATTTATTCGAGGCTTAAGTCCTCTAAAGTTGTACATTTCTAACTCAATATTACAGACCTGATTTACCCTAATGAAAAATGCATCAATCTCTTCAAATATGTCAATGTCTTATAATCCACATAATAATTCAAACTAAATTAGCTGTAGCAAGAGGAGAGAGACTGCATATGCTAAAGACAATCAGAAAGAATGTGTCTTTAGCCCTGCATTACAATATAAATTATTTTGAACGAAAGCCAGGAATGAGTGAGTCACTCAGCCCTATGCTTCTGTTCCTGCTTATGTTGCCTGTTTCAGTGTTTGTTTAATATTGATCACCAAGGCTCTTGCTATGCTGTAATAAAGGCTTTACAATGAATTTTTCATTAGAACAGACTCTCTGGTATTACTTATAATTTATTTGGTGTTGTTTACATTGTTCCTAACGGGCAGAAAAATAATATTGTAATCTAACAGCACATGTTTGTGATGCAAAAGTATCTCTTTCGCTTTTGACAATGATTTTACATGAGGCCGTATTCACATAATATTACCAACAGGATAATATAATCAATTGTTTCCTTTTGGTTATTTAATTAAACTATATAATGTTATTTCAAGTTATCACTTTGGAGCGCATGCAAAAGCGATTTGGAGTTGTTGAACTAGAGGTACAAAATGTATTACAATTGAATTTGAATGAACTGAAAGATGAGGATTAATAAGAAGAGGGTGATACATTTAGAACAATAGTGTAAAAATTGCTTTTCCTGTGTCCTGAATATACACACTCAAAAAAATACACTTTTTATTGTTTCTACTTTGTCAGAAGAAGCTGAAACTGGACTGTAGCCTATTACTTACTAAAACTGTTGTTACATTGTAAGATTTTATTCTAGGAGAAACACAAGTATTTGGTTATATTCCATTATATTCTTAAAATATACACTACCAGTCAAATGTTTGGACACACCTATTCATTCAAACATTTTTCTTTATTTTTACTCTTTTTTACATTGTAGAATAGTAGTGAAGACATCAAAACTATGAAATAACACATACAGAAACATGTAGTAACCAAAAAAGTGTTAAACAAATCAAAATGTATTTTGTATTTGAGATTCTTCAAATAGCTACCCTTTGCCTTGATGACAGCTTTGCACACTCTTGACATTCTCTCAACCAGCTTCATGAGATAGTCACCTGGAATGCATTTCAATTAACAGGTGTGCCTTCTTAACAGGTGTGCCTTGTGTGGAATTTCTTAATGCGTTTGAGCCAATCAGTTGTGTTGTGACAAGGTTGGGGTGGTATACAGAAGATTGCCCTATTTGGTAAAAGACCATGTCCATATTATGGCAAGAACAGCTCAAATAAGCAAAGAGAAACAACAGTCCATCATTACTTTAAGACATGAAGGTCAGTCAATACGGAAAATTACAAGAACTTTGAAAGTCTCTTCAAGTGCAGTCGCAAAAACCATGAAGCGCTATGATGAAACTGTCTCTCATGAGGACCACAACAGGAATGGAAGACCCAGAGTTACCTCTGCTGCAGAGGATAAGTTCATTAGAGTTACCACTGTAAAGCATGGAGGAGGAGGTGTTATGGTGTGAGGGTGCTTTGCTGGTGACACTGTCTGTGATTTATTTAGAATTCAAGGCATACTTAACCAGCATGGCTACCAGAGCATTCTGCAGTGATATGCCAACCCATCTGGTTTGGGCTTAGTGGGACTATCATTTGTTTTTCAACAGGACAATGACCAACACACCTCCAGGCTGTGTAAGGGCTATTTTACCAAGAAGGAGAGTGATGGAGTGCTGCATCAGATGACCTGGCCTCCACAATCCCCCGACCTCAATCCAATTGCGATGGTTTGGGATGAGTCGGACTGCAGAGTGAAGGAAAAGCAGCCAACAAGTGCTCAGCGTATGTAGGAACTCCTTCAAGACTGTTGGAAAAGCATTCCAGGTGAAGCTGGTTGAGAGAATGCCAAGCATGTGCAAAGCTGTCATCAAGGCAAAGGTTGGCTACTTTGAAGAATCTAAAATCTAAAATATATTTTGATTTGTTTAACACTTTTTTGGTAACTACATGATTCCACATGTTATTCCATAGTTTTGATGTCTTCACTATTATTCTACAATGTTGAAAATAGCAAAAATAAAGAAAAACTCTGGAATGAGTAGGTGTGTCCAAACTTTTGACTGGTACTGTATATATAAATAAAATGAATACTTTTTTAGAACTAAAGTGTGTGCAACATGTCTCTCTATACAAGGAATAATGGACAGTTGAAACGAGTCACGTGGTTAAAGAGCTATTGAAATTCTAAAGTTTCAAATATTTGTATAAAATCGTGTAAGCTTTATGAAACCAAAGGGTGTGCAATGTGTGTCCCTACTCTTTGAACAATACAAAGTTGGTTTGAGATGCCGAGGTCATGTGATCAAGGGGCCATTGAATTTTAAGTGTTTTTTATAAATATAGAATTTTAAAAAATTGAATCATTTTATGAGGCAACCAAAGTGTGTGCAACATGCCTCTCTATATGAGGAATAATGGACAGTTGAAATTAGGTTGCTAAATCACGTGGTTGAAGAGCTATTGGAATTTGAATATTGTGATCATGCACTTTGTTGATGGTCCCAAACTAGAGGCATTGACATGCCCCAGGCTGACTAAACCCCTGCCATGGGATTATGAAACTCGGGTCGGAATCGGTAAAATAAGACCTGTGCAATGTTGTACACATTTTTTTCAATCATAAAGAGCATAACCTGAGTTATGTAGGTCAAATCGTTTGCGAGCTATCTAAGTTTGAAGGTCCGAATGTCTGGCCAACATCGATTCTCAAACCAATTTTACCATGGTGCCACACCGTGGCAAAACCAGCGCAGCCCAACAACAGATTACCAGTCACGGCAGGGCTCAAATTAACAAACTGAATTTGTGGGGGAGAAAAAAAAGACAAACAACATCACAGTGGATTATGACCATTTCGGAAGTATTTTGTGTGATAATAAATAGGGACGTCTCTGCGCAGCCTATCGGATTCCAGGATGAAATATGCATCCAGATGAAAAAACTGCAGTCCCTTTCGCTAATCCTTGTCTATCCTTTTTATCTCGGGACTCATAGCAGTCTGATCACTATGGGAGCGCGAAGCCGTGGGACAAAACCGTGCAGATGATATTTCAGTAAATGACAAACGCAGGTCTGTTTGGCTTCAATGGGTGCTGACTGGATGCATGCAGACTAGCTGTGCAGTGCACGCATAAAAGTGGGCCAAAATGTTCCTCGCGTTCGTCCTGGGACTCTACCTGGCGACAGGTGCGCTACCCTCCTCGGTGAGCGCGTGCCCGTCACAGTGCAGCTGTTTTTTTCACAACCTGAGTGATGGATCTTTGGCCAGGTGAGTAGAAGAAACGAACCAAACCAAATTGTCGCTTTATGTGCATGGTTTTATTTGTTTGTGCAGACGCATTCCGTTTAATTGAAGAGGCTTTTCTCGCATGATTACAGATGTTGACCCCTCACTGTGAAATCAGCACGTGGACAAAGTGAATTATTGGGAGTGCATGATGTCCAATTTTATTTAATGCAGGATTATCTTGCAAAGGCACACTGACCAACTCTCCATCTCTGTCAATCTCTCTGAGTTTAGTTTTTAGTGAGAGTGTTAGGCCTACATGTAGGCTTTTGAATCAGTTGACTATAATTACAATACCATAATTATAATATTAATTGGCACATAGCCTATATTAATTAACTTATATGAAAACCCAATTTGGCATTTCACATAAATAATTTACACCAATAATAAAAAATTATTTTTACAAAAAGACAGTTAAAATAATAATAATTTGTGTTCCTTTCCTCACACATTTTTATTTAAATAACATAAGCCTAGGTTTAACACATCCCGTTGTTTCCTCAGGAGCGTCATTTGCAATGACCCCGAGATCTCCCTTGTGCCTGCCAGTTTCCCCGTGGACACGTCCAAGCTGCGCATCGAGAAAACAGCCATCCATCGGATCCCAAGCAAAGCCTTCAGCTACCTCCCCAATCTGGAGTTCCTCTGGATGTCCTTCAATGTGCTGTCCGCCCTCAACCCGGACAGTTTCCGTGGGATGCTAAATCTGGAGGAGCTGCGACTGGATGGGAATGCCCTCACCGCATTCCCCTGGGAGTCTCTTATGGATATGTCCAGCCTCAGGCTGCTCGACTTGCACAACAACCAGTTGACCTCAGTTCCCGCAGACGCCACAATTTATATAAAAAACCTGACCTACCTGGATCTGTCCAGCAACAACCTCCTGACTGTCCCGGCCGAGGTGCTCGCCACCTGGCTAGCGGTTAAACCTGTGCAGAGCGCAGAGAGCTCCAAAATGATACTTGGTAAGGGAGAGCGATTTTTCCTGATATTTATCTAACAATTAAGCAGGTGATCGCATGTACCATTGAGATACACTCTCATTTACAAGGGAGATGTGGCTGGAAGGCAGCCACAAGACAATCATACATCCAGATCAGGCATGTTTTCCATCATATGAATGCCTCTACCACTTGTGATAAAAAATTGCTTAAGGAAGCTAGATCTTTTTCAGTCACTCAGTTGTTGGTTGAAAAATCTCTCCAAATTGAGAAAAAAAGAGATACTGTATACAGACGAATGTGTGATATGTTCCCAAATCCTCTGAAAAAGCCAACATGATCTGAGTATTGTGCAATCACTCCCTAAATCCCAATTTAACCATAATTGTTGCCATTATCGTTGTCATCATCATTGGCCAGCAGCATACCACCCTACATCCTACTACTGGCTTGCCTCTAAAGCTAAGCAGGGTTGGTCCCTGGATGGGAGACCAGATGCTGCTGGTAAGTGGTGTTGGAGGGCCAGTAGGAAGTACTCTTTCTACTGGTCAAGAAAAATATCCCAATACCCCAGGGCAGTGATTGGGAACATTGCCCTGTGTAGGGTGCTGTTTTTCGGATGGGATGTTAAACGGGTGTCCTGACTCTCTGTGGTCTCTAAAGATCCCATGGCACTTATTGTAAGAGTAGGGGTGTTAGCCCCGGTGTCCTGGCAAAATGTCCAATCTGGTCCTCATACCATCATGGCCACCTAATCATCCCCAGCTTCCAATTGGCTCATTCATCCCCCCTCCTCTCCCCTGAAACTATTACCCAGGTTGTTGCTGTAAATTATAATGTGTTCTCAGTCAATTTACTGGTAAAAAAAAAACACTTGAGATAAAAAATATATATATTTTAGTCACTCAGTTGTTGGTTGAAAAATCCCTCCAAATTTAGAAAAAAATTGAGATATACAGACAAATGTGTGACGTGTTCCCAAATCCTCTGAAAAAGTCAACATAATCTGAATATTGTGCAATCACTGCCTAAATCCCAATTGAACCATCGTCGTCGCCGTCATCATTATCGTTGTCATCATCACCACACCCGCATTGTAGTTTATTCTAGAATGTAAGTAATCCTCACACAGACATCCACAGCAGTCATCTGTAGCTGTACAGTAAAGCTGTGCAACCAGAGAGACACTGTCATTCCTTTCATTCACGATGTGTTTGTAAAGTGACCAGGCCCAGGAAAAACTCTGGGCCTTTCTTATAATGTCCCCTCCACTTCATACTGTAACTTTTACGTTCTCCCCTCACCTCTGACCCCACCAACCCTCATTAGTATCCTTTTTTATTTTATTCATCACAGAATTCAGAGTTCAATTGTATTCTGCCATGTGAATTAATGAGTTGAACTTAAACCATCCAGGTCTCCATGACAACCCCTGGGTGTGTGACTGCCGCCTGTATGACCTGGTCCAGTTCCAGAAGTCGCCAACGCTCTCCGTAGCATTCATCGACACACGCCTCCGCTGCGCCGCTCCCGAGAGCCTGTCAGGTGTTCTGTTCAGCGACGCCGAGCTACGGAGGTGCCAGGCGCCGCGCATCCACACAGCGATGGCACGCGTCCACGGCGCCGTGGGAAACAACGTGCTGCTGCGCTGCGGAACCATTGGCGTTCCCAGCCCGGATCTGGCCTGGCGGAGGGCGGAAGGGAAAGCCCTGAATGGGACAGGTGAGTCAGCAAGGGATTTGTGTATGTGTGCTTCTATTCCTTTCTCTCTCTGTGTCTGTGTGAGTATAACACTTCAGCTCTACTATAACTCTTCAGCTCCACTACACGTCGCGTTGCTTTGCCATCAGCGTCGTGTCAATGTGCTGTTCTACCTGCTTAACAGAGCGCGTTGTTTTGAGAGCGGAGAGGAGCAGAGGGGAAGAGCGTCTTTATTCTATTTTCTACTGTACTGTACCATATTAATCGATTATGCATAACTACAATAGCTTTGGTCCAGTTTTTCAAAAATACTCATTAAATTGTTGCTAGTGGTTGTACTAAATTATTGTCTAATTACACAAGTTGCTTTTGTTTACATTGTGAACCTAGCTAATCAATGTAGCTAGCTAGCAAGTAGTAGTAGCTTCTTGACTTCATAAAGACTGTGTTAGGCCGTAGTTGTCTGAAGCGTGCTATAGAGTTCACAGCTGGCAATGCCTCCTCGCGATTAGTTATTCCCCATCATTTGCAACATTGCATGTCAATGAGCGTCATCACTATCTTTCCTTTGCTGTACCTTAAACTGTTGTGACTACCAGCTGAGGTAAACTTTTACGAATTGAAATTACTCCTGGCTCAGAGTTTGTCTGAGCAGTGTCTTAACATCATCCTAAAACCTACTCTGAGAGTTATTTTTTGTCTTAAAACTGGTTTTAACAGGATTCCTAGGACCTTTTCTGAGACGCTTTGTGGATATGGCCCCTGGATTAAAAAACACTTTCAATGGGAATCTCCCCTGTCTTTGTATGACTTTTTAGTATTTAGTATTTTTATTTTTTACTCTGACTAATAGTATGTCCATGTCTCTTCTCTTGCTCTACAGTCCAGCAGGAGAACTCCAAGGAAGGCATCATCTGGTCCATCCTCAGTGTCCCAGCCGTGTCCTACCGTGACTCAGGGAAGTACGTCTGCACGGCCACTAACTACGCTGGAATTGCAGAGACCGTCATCTCCCTGGTCATCTCCGACGCTCCCCCAAAACCCGACAATAACAACAACCAAACCAGCGTGGTTGCTGCTGCTGTAAAAAAAAACAAAGTCAAGAAACCCAACGGGATGGGGAAGGTAGCATACCAGGAGAAACTTGTGGCTAGGTTAGTGGTTCCCACCCCCACCCCTCCACCCCCACCTGCTGTGGTGGACTCCAGCCCTGAGCCTGAGGGAGTGGGAAGTGTGGCAGATAGAGCCACCCCTGGACAAGCCAGGTTGCCCAGTCCAGACGGACTCCTGGAGCTGGAGAAGACCAACCTGAGCAACCTGGCTCAGGCCCAGTATGACCCGGACCGGATAGTTCGCTCGGTCAAGGTGTTGGGCGACACGGAGAACACCATCACCCTGAACTGGCGGGCACCCAAGGCCAAGAACACCACAGCCTTCAGTGTGCTCTATGCCGTCTTCGGCGAGCGAGACATGCGCAAGATCAACGTGGCGGCGGGCCAGAATCGGGTCTTCATCGAGGGCCTGGTGCCCAAGACCAAGTACATTGCCTGCGTGTGTGTCCGGGGCCTGATCCCCAAGAAGGAGCAGTGCGTCATCTTCTCCACCGACGAGGCGGCCAGTGCCGCTGGCACCCAGAAGCTCATCAACGTCATTGTGATTACGGTGGCTTGCGTCATTGCTGTGCCGCTCACCGTCATCGTCTGCTGTGGCGCGCTCAAGAGGCGCATCCAGAAGATGTGGGGCAAGAAGTCCAAGGACATCCAGGACTCGTATGTGACTTTTGAGACGCTGTCCCCCGGAACCAAGGCTAAAGGGTTGGAGGGTGAGTACCTGACCAGACTCAATCCAGAGGAGTCCAACCGGCTGCTGTCGGCCCGCTCCAGTCTGGACTCGGAGGCCACGGCTAAGATAGAGGGACAGCCCAACGAGTACTTCTGCTGACTTCATGCTCCAGCTCCAGCTCCCTCCCCACGCTATCTCCCACGCTTGCACCCTCTGGCTCAACACATCTCCACACACACACCTCATCTACAGCATAGTCCCACACACACACATCATCCCCATCATAGCCACACACACACACCTCATCTACATCATAGCCCCACACACACATCTCATCCTCACACATCTTTCTCTCACCACAGCCCCACGCACACACCTCATGTTCACCACAGCCCCACACACACATCTCGTCCTCACCATAGCTCCACACACACTCCTCACCCTCACCATAGCCCCACACACAAACCTCGTCCCCACACACCTAATCCTTTCTCTCAGCCTCACCAAAACCACCCACACACATCCTATACTCTCCCTCACTCTCAGCAAAGTCCTACACACACATCTAATCTTCACCATAACCCCACACACACACATAGTCCTCACCCCTACCACAGCCCCATACACAAACCTCAACCTCTCCCCAAGTTTCACCACAGCCCCACACTCACACCTCGTCGAAATGCTCACCACAGTCCCACACACACATCTGGTTGTCTCCCTTTCTCTCACCGTAGTCCCCCCCCCACACACAGGGCACAGGACTCTCCCCCACCTCTCCCCCCATGTTGGGCGCCACCACATCGGGGGTTCTATGAGAGGACGCTTGGACGATGCACCATCATGGAAATATCAGTTTAAAGGAGTTTAGTCTTTTTTTTTTACATCTGAAATGTATAGTATTTCAACAGAGAGAATTTGAATGATGTAATGTGTTTTTACACTTCTGGGGGACTATAAGTTGTAAATGAGCTCTCCAGTTAGTATTTCATTTAAATACATTTATCATAGTTAAGTTATCAAGTAAAAGGCTGAAAGAAGGACACCTGGGCCAATATTAATAAAACGTCTCAGAGTAGGAGTGCTTCTCTAGTATCAGTTTAGCCTTTTAGATCATACACATTGAGATAACATGGACAGGGGGGACCTGGGGCCATATCCACAAAGTGTTTCAGAAAAGGTCCTAGGAATCCTGTTAAAACCCGTTTTAAGACAACAACAAAATCCCAGCTCAGAGTAGGTTTTAGGATGATGTTAAGACACTGTTCAGACAAACTGAGCCAGGAGTAAAATCAACTCATAAAAGTTTATTTCAACTGGTAATTACGCAAAGAAAAGATAGTGATGACACTCATTGACATTGTTGCAAATTGTGGGGAATATCCAATCACGAGGAGGCATCGCCATCTGTGAACTCTATAGTCCGCTTCAGACACCCACGAATATGAAATAATTTTCAAAAGAGCAAGAGATACTGTTGCAAGTGACGCAGATGTTGTTGGAAGTGACGCAGACAATTACATTAATAGAAGATACAATCTATCTGCAATATTAAGCTGATCCATCCCCCCCATAAATGAAAAAAAAAAAAAAAAAAGGAGATACTGTTGCAGGTAGGTCTAGATATTTTATGGGTTGATTATATAGAAATATCAAAACATTCTTTCAACAACTCCAAAGCAATTTCCTGTCTATGGTGCAGGAACCACTGACTCGCTGCTGGTATCTCTTAACTAGTTAGGACAGCACATGATATCTCCTAAATATCTGTCGACTAGGTAGGACTCTTCCCACTAGGCACAGGCATCAATTCAACATCTAGTTTTGATTTACTTTTGGTTGATATATATATACAGTACCAGTCAGTTTGGACACACCTACTCATTCCAGGGTTTTTCTTTATTTTTACTAGTTTTGATGTGTTCACTATTATTATACAATGTAAAACATTGTAAAAATAATGAAAACACTTGAATGAGTAGGTGTGTCCAAACCTTTGACTGGTGGTGTATGTAGTAACAATAAAAGTGTTAAACAAATCAAAATATATTTTATATTTGAGATCCTTCAAAGTAGCCACCCTTTGCCTTGATGACAGCTTTGCACACTCTTGGCATTCTTTCAACCAGCTTCATGAGGTAGTCACCTGGAATGTATTTCAATTAACAGGTGTGGCTTGCTAAATGTTAATTTGTGGAATTTCTTTCCTTCTTAATGTGTTTGAGCCAATCAGTTGTGTTGTGACAAGGTTGTGGTGGTATACAGAAGATAGCCCTATTTGGTAAAAGACCAAGTCCATATTATGGCAAGAACAGCTCAAATAAGCAAAGAGAAAATACAGTCCATCATTACTTTAAGACATGAAGGTCAGTCAATACGGAACATTTCAAGAACTTTTAAAGTTTCTTCAAGTGCAGTCGCAAAAACCATCAAGCGCTACGATTAAACTGGCTCTCATGAGGACCGTCACAGGAAAGGAAGACCAAGAGTTACCTCTGCTGCAGAAGATAAGTTTGTTAGCGTTAACTGCACCTCAGATTGCAGCCCAAATAAATGCTTCACAGAGTTCAAGTAACAGACACATCTCAACATCAACTGTTCAGAGTAGACTGCGTGAATCAGGCCTTCATGGTCAAATTGCTGCAAAGAAACCACTACTAAAGGACACCAATAAGAAGAACAGACTTGCTTGGGCCAAGAAACACGAGCAATGGATATTAGACCGGTGGAAATCTGTCCTTTGGTCTGATGAGTCCAAATGTGAGATTTTTTGGTTCCAACCGCTGTGTCTTTGTGAGACTCATAGTAGGTGAATGGATGATCTCCGCATGTGTGGTTCCCACCGTGAAGCATAGAGGAGGAGGTGTGATGGTGTGGGGTGCTTTGCTGGTGACACTGTCTGTTACTTATTTAGAATTCAAGCCACACTTAACCAGCATGGCTACCACAGCATTCTGCAGCGATACACCCATCCCATCTGATTTGCTCTTAGTGGGACTATCATTTGTTTTTCAACAGGACAATGACCCAACACACCTCCAGGCTGTGTAAGGGCTATTTGACCAAGAAGGAGAGTGATGGAGTGCTGCATCAGATGACCTGGCCTCCACAATCACCCGACCTCAACCCAATTGAGATGGGTTGTGATGAGTTGGACTGCATAGTGAAGGAAATACTGTTTGAAAAGCATTCCAGGTGAAGCTGGTTGAGTGTGCAAAGCTGTCATCAAGGCAAAGGGTGGCTACTTTGAAGAATCTCAAACATAAAACATATTTTGATTTGTTTAACACTTTTTTGGTTACTACATGATTCCACATATTATTTCATAGTTTTGATGTCTTCACTATTATTCTACAATGTAGAAAATAGTAAAAATAAAGAAAAACCCTTGAATGAGTAGGTGTGTCCAAACTTTTGACTTGTACTGTATATATACACACTACATGGCCAAAATAATGTGGACACCCCTTCAAATTAGTGGATTCGGCTATTTCAGCCACACCCGTTGCTGACAGGTGTATAAAATCGAGCACACAGCCATGCAATCTCCATAGACAAACACTGACAGTAGAATGCTCAATTACTTTCAACGTTGCACCGTCATAGGATGCCACCTTTCCAACAAGTCAGTTCGTCAAATGTCTGCCATGCTCGAGCTGCCCCGGTCAACTGTAAGTGCTGTTATTGTGAAGTGGAAACGTCTAGGAGCAACAAAGGCTCAGCCGTGAAGTGGTAGGCCACGCAAGCTCACAGAACGGGGCCGTCGAGTGTTGTAGTGCGTAAAAATAATCTGTCCTCGGCAGCAACACTCACTACCGAGTTTCCTGTTTCAGCATGACAATGCCCCCGTGCACAAAGCGAGGTCCATACAGAAATGGTTTGTCAAGATCGGTGTGGAAGAACTTAACCGGCCTGCATAGAGCCCTGACCTCAACCCCATCGAACACCTTTGGGTTGAATTGGAATGCCAACTGCGAGCCAGGCCTAATCTCCCAACATCAGTGCCTGACCTCACTAATGATCTTGTGCATCATGCCCGACTCACTAATGCGCTTGTGGCTAAATGGAAGCAAGTCCCTGTAGCATTGTTCCAACATCTGGTAGAAAACATTCCCAGAAGCATATTTTTCTGTTGTATTAGTTAAGATAAGATCAATAAAACCTGTTTTAAGACAAACTCTAAGCCAGGAGTAAAATCAACTCATAAAAGTTTATCTCAGCTGGTAATCACGACAGTTTGAGGTACTGCAAAGGAAAGATAGTGGTGACGCTCATTGACATTGTTGCAAATGATGGGGAATAACCAATTGCGATGAAGAATCACCAGTTGTGAACTCTGTAGCACGCTTTCAGACAACCACGGTGAATATTACTGTACATAAAATGTTGCAATGATAAAACGTTTGATATCATTTTCGCCTGACACGATCACTTTGCCTACTCTAAATTATTGCCTAATATATTGGCATGCATAACTTTTTTTAAAAGGGTTAACTTGAAATATTAAATAATCAAAAGAAAAACATGTTTATTTATTAGCCTAGTCATTAAAAGTAGTTAGGCATGTCATGTGAAATAGGCCTCGTGAAATTATTGTCAAAAGCGCAAGAGATACGGCTACATGTAGGTCTAGATTATTTATGGATTGATCATATCAAAACATAAATATCAAAACATGAATTGAACAACTCCAAAGCAATTGCATGTGTCGCAGGAACCACTGACTTGCTGCATTTTTCTATTATCAAGATGTTGTATTGTCACACACCAGGTGCAGTGAAATGTGTTGTTTTACAGGGTCAGCCATACTGGCTAGGACAGGCTCCTAAATATCTGTCAACTAGGTGGGACTCTTATGCCATAAGAGTAGGGGTAAAATACACTGCTCAGAAAAATTAAGGGAACACTTAAACAACAGATCCTAGATCTGAATGAATGAAATAATCTTATTAAAATACTTTTTTCTTTACATAGTTGAATGTGCTGACAACAAAATCACACAAAAATTATCAATGGAAATCAAATGTATCAACCCAAGGAGGTCTGGATTTGGAGTCACCCTCAAAATTAAAGTGGAAAACCACACTACAGGCTGATCCAACTTTGATGTAATGTCCTTAAAATAAGTCAAAATGAGGCTCAGTAGGGTGTGTGGCCTC